CTGATCTGTACGAGGTCATCAAGTCTACTTGTACCCATCCTACTGCAGGCAATTGTTCAATGGTTCCTTCCTACATCAGATATCTTTCCATTCCTCATCCTGTACACCCTTGTCAAACTTGCTCCTAACCTTTTGATCCTACTACCCTAAACACAGAAATATTGCGTTCAGTCGATCCTTCTTCATCTGTGCATTCGACCTATGGAGGTATCTTCCTCATTCTACCTACCAAGCCACTGTCGTCTCCAAACTTATGTCCAATCGCTTTGATTACTTCATGTACTTACCTTCGAAAGATCCTTTGAGATTCGAGCCCCTAAACTCTGGAACTCCCTTCCCCTTTCTATTCGTCACGCTGCCTCCTTTTCCTCCTTTAAATCCCACCTGTATAATCACCTCCTCTCTCTCCAAGCAGAGACCTCATGTTAACATTTGTTATTTTTGTTTAATACACTCGTAATTTTTTCTTCTGTCCTGCCTTATTGGTATATATTGTGCCAAGATTTCTATCTTTTTTTTTTACTTTTCATAGAAGGAACTTCCTTTATTTATTTCATGTAAATTATTCTTGGGGGACACCAGTCTCAGAATAAAGTTATTTTTCTCCTTCTTTTTCTACTTAAATCTAGACTCCGAAGATTTTTACTTGCCCATTTTTACTTATTTTCTATAAGAGTATTTTCGCTGTATATTTTTTTTTAATAGACAACTTTTTATCTTCTTGGAAAACGCCTTATCAGGCTTGAATATTTATAAATATCTTTTAATTAATTAATCTGTATTTAAGGTATTGGCTGAGATAAAAAAGTCAGTGTCATAAGAGGGATTCGAACCCACGACCTTCGGCTAAATACGCCGCTGCTCTACCACTTGAGCTGTCGTGACTTCGATCCACTCGGACACCAACTTCCCATCTCAACCTCATCTATTGATTTTCCCTCCTTTTTGCAATTTTTCAAGTGTGTTTCTATCTTAACCACGAAAGTGAATTTAATAAGTTAAATATCTTGTTTTAACTTTATGCCATTTCGCAGCAGGGATGAGAAAAATGTAGAAATTTCGGTTGTCCATTCTTTCTCATAAAGTAAATTAAGTTATAGGGGAGTTTTTTAACTCCAACTTTCCTTAACGCGTAAAGTGTTGTATAAGGAATGTAATGGCCTGTAACGACGCCAAATCCCAATTTGTCCTTAAGACAGATTGCTCTTCTTCCGACCTGTCCGCTTTAACAAATTGCTTCTAACGTCTGCCAAACGACAATGAAATCAATAAGCCAAGAATTGCTTCCCGCTGCCAGCAATTAGGGCCCAATTATAAATAACAGTAATAGGAGTCATTTTAACAAAAGATAAGAAATTATCGAGTGGTTTTATTTAATCCTTTAAAGACATTAAAATAAGACTATAACTCGTTTATTTTCCTTGATGTAAGATAGAAACAATATAAAAAGAAAAACAATTCGATAACTACGTCGAATGTGTCATAATAGAATATTGCGGCAAATTACACGCCGTTTTACTTCCTCGTCCTGTAATCAATTCGCGTCGGTTCAAGTAGCGAGGAGGGGCCTGTCCTCTTTTCCTTTTTTTCTTCTCTCTTCTTAACTGACATTTAATCCAGCATCGTCACGATTTACGACAAATTACACGTTTGACTATTAACCTATGAAATGACGTAATTTGAACAAAAATTTCTTGGGAAACACGACAAAAGAGGAATCAGAAAGTTTGAGCCATATGGATTTTATGATGTTTTTATTATGTTACAATAATGATAGAACGTTACAAGCAATTTTTTAAAATGAATTTTATATTATAAAATTATTGGATTGGATAATGCATTCTAGATCGCATTCTTTTGACACAGCACAATTCACTTTTCACACCCGAGAAAAAATCTCGAGGGTTTTAAGTTTGTTAGTGGATTGTGGGGTAGTTTCGGGATGAAAGGCGTTGGATTAGGAGGTTGGAGGGTCCAGGGTTTTATCTACTTCCTACTGTTCGGAGTATCCCCGGTTTTGAAGATTTTTGTCCATAATAAGGTAGGATACGAAGTAGTGAGATTGGGCAGTAGTTCAAAGGATTTTTGACAGGAGTGGACTAGCTTTTTAGTGGATGGTACGCTTTGTTGAACACCTCATTTTTATTAATTTGAGTCAATACTTCGATCCTATCTTACTGGACGATATGTCAGAGTCCGGCAAGGGTCGGACCACTCCGACTACTGTCCTGGGGAGCGGGAGTACTACAGGGTTGTGTGGTCGGTCCACTCGTGTACCTCCTCAACACATCAGACATCCCATCCATACCTTCTACTCTCCTTGCATCCTTCGCCGACGACACGCTTCCTTTCGTCCAATCCCGATCCTGAAAAAGCTTCGGAGGAGCTCCAATCACAAGTACAACGGAATGCAGAATGGAGCAAAATATGGAGAATAAAAATGAATGAAAACAAGTGCAACCGTATTACATTTTCTTTCCGAAGCAAAACTACATAGTACACCTCAACAACATCCCTATTCCCAAAGCTGACTGCGAACGATACCTTGGGCTCTATCTTGACTCACGACTGATGTGGAAACACATCCAAATAAAAAGACAGAAACTGAATAGACGATTTGGACTATTCTATAAGCTACTCGGACGCAAATCTAATTTGTCAACAAAAGAAACAGACTAACACTGTACAGAACACTACTTTTTTTTTTTAATTTATTTATTTAATACCTGATCCCATAGTGATTTCAGGTATTCATAACCATATGCAATTATTATTTACAATTAGTTGAATACAATTTTACTAACAAAATTATTGAAGGCTTCAATGTGGTCTCTAATCAAACTGTGATGGTCGGGTGGCCAGTGCCCACCTTTACATATAACGTCCCTAATTAGAGATTTTTGGAGTGGTTCTTGAATGGGTCAGTCGAATAAGATGTGGTCCCATGTTGAGGTCTCCCTGGACAGTCGCATTTCGAATCCCGTGTTATGTGGAATCTATAGAGATATTCACGAGTTCGTCCATGGCCGCTTATAAGTTGGGTAAGCATATGGTGGTGTTTCAGTTCTACTGCCGTCCTCGATTCTACCGTTGGGAAGAACTTTTTAGTTTGAAGACCTTTTGTAGTACGTCTCCAACGTTCTTCCCATTGGGCCAATGTAATTTTCGAGGCCATGGAGATGACGTAGCTTTTCGGCACTACTGTGACTGTTGTTTCTAGTTCAGAGTTTTCTGTAGCTTCCTTTGCTGCTGCGTCGGCTTCCTCATTACCTTGGATCCCTGTGTGCGCTGGTACCTTTTCAATACTGAGCTTCCAGCCATTATCACGCAATGATTTTATCATATTTTTGATGTCGGATACCATCAGGCTTCGTGCTTTGTAATTTTTAATTTTATCAATGGATATGCGGCTGTCTGTTATCACAATCGCGTTTTTGTTCACTTCTCCAACATCCTCTGTGCGAGCCATTGAAGAGCCTTCAGGATAGCAATGAGTTCAACTTGGTTGTTCGAGCACCAGCTACCGAGTATAATTTGTATTGTTTCTTGCAGGGTTGTCTTTTCCATAGAAGACTAGGGCTGCTCCAACCTCATTATTCATTTTGCTCCCATCGGTGTATATTACGATCTTGTCTTGTCATGATACTGACTCTGTGATTCCATGAGTTCTATAAGCCGGATGGGGCCATTCATTTAAAGGCAGTGTGGGTTCCACGATAAGTGCAGGGAGGGCTTTGTTGTTGAGTGATCTTTTTATGGTGAAGTAGATGTCGGTTAAACCATCCCTAACCAACAGAACAGTTCTGAAACCGATTTGGACATACGGACTAGAACTGTGGGGCACTGCAAAACCTACCAACATCCAACGAATTCAATCCATCCAATCCAAAGTCCTTAGAATTATAGTTAACGCTCCCTACTATGTCTACAACGCCATCCTCCACAATGACCTCAAAATACCCTTTGTAAATAAATTAAACCCGTCCAAATTCACCCAGTTCCTGGACAAACTCTCCACTCACCCCAACCCACTAGCCCAATCCATTTCCATCATAATCCATCCCGACAATCCTGTCCGCCGTTTAAAGCGGAGATGGCCTCGGGACCTCCTCCTTAAGGATTAACCTTGCACAAAACTGTAAGACCAACAATGGTTGGCAACTCCCCTCAAGACTATACAGTGTGTAATATAAATATGTAAATAACCTCAAGTGTGGGGTTCCAAATAAAATCCAAGTAAAACAGGGTTTTTGTAGATTGAATGAGTGGTGATACGGTGATGGGTGAAGGTTTTTTTCCTGAGATTTGAATTTATTGAGTCTGATCATTTCCTGAACTAATCTTCCTAACAGTCTAGATGGTCCTAGTGTTTTCACGAATAATTTGGATCATGTTATGGCCTTGATAAAAAAATCAATTTTTACTGCTACGCTTTCGACCTATTTTAAGGTCATCGACAACAAACAAGCAATCTTAAATATGTAACGTTGCTAAGGGCTGTAACAGTATTGCAACCTTATCCCTACAGGATTCTGTCTGGATTTGCTGAAAAGGGCGTATCGTCTGTATATTTTAGGAATACCGTATCCGGGTTGATTGAAATGTATGCAGTGTATACTGAATAGAAAATGTGAAAAACGGTGTTTTCTTTGGAATACCCTATTCGGCTGAGTGATGAAAGAGAAGGATGTTTCGATTTCCACTTGAAAATACCTATCGAACGGAAAGGATATTAGGTTGAGGTAATAAGTGCATGAAAAAGATGCCATTGACTGTCCAGAACAAAGCCGAGAGACTCGAAAGTGACCAGTAAAATTGTGACGCCTAATCTCAAAATGATGGTTGAGAATTATATTTAAACATTCGATGATGAGGAGTATTTGCTTAGATAGGACTTAAAGAAAACGTTTATTTTTTCTTATATAAAAATCTATTTGTGACTAATACAGTCTTCCATAGTTCATATTAGTTTTTAATCAATTTGTTTTTCTTTTTTTCAGCTGCTTTCATCAAACCATGCAGGAAAGACGACCCAGATATCAACGGGTGCCTCAAACACGCTTTCGACCATCTCAGGCCGTATCTTTCCAAAGGTAATAAATCACAAATCAGTCCAACCTCGAAAATCTAAACTGAATTGTCGGCCCGATAGGGATACCCGAGATAAAACTGCAGTCCATCGAGCCTTTGAAAATACCCAAGATGACAATGGACAACGGCAACGGGGCCGTGAGAGTGAGAGCGCAGTTCAACAACATCACAGTCTACGGGGCGACCAACTACACCATTATAGACGTCAAGTAATGGCCAAATCGTTTGTTTCCTTTTCTTTGTACTTTTTATTTTGGACAATTATTTTACGTAACCCGGATCCAATTGCGACAGATGAAATTTACACGGTCCGGCAGGACAAGGAGGCTGAAAGACAATTTCTTCATTGCCAGGGAAATTATACGACTTCAATGTCCTTTGAAATAACTCAACGTTTTAATTTAGAAGAAAACAACGTGGATAATTTTTTTTCTATGAAAAAGCTTGATTTTTCCAGTATTTATGGAAACTATTACTGTTTTTTGATCATTTTTGTCTGCTATCCTTTGTCAAATAGTGCAGATATGTTATGTCTTTGTAATTTTTGTTCAGTTATAACATAAAATTAATTCGTTTTGAAAAATTCATCTTTGCTCAACAATCACTTGAATATGTTTGTAAACTTCCTGTTATACGACTTCAATGTCCTTTGAAAAAACTCAACTTTTGAATTTAGAAGAAAAAACGGAGATAATTTCTTTTTCTAAGAAAAAGCGAGATTTTGTCCAGTATTTATGGAAAGTATGACCGTTTTTCGGTAATTTTTGTCTGCTGCCCTTTGTCAAATAGTGCAGGCATTTTGTGTCTAATTTTTGTTCAGTTATAACATAAAATGAATTCGTTTTGAAAAATTCATCTTTGCTCAACAATCACTTGAATATGTTTGTAAACTGCCTATAATATTTCAGAAAGAATTGACTTCTCATAGTAGTCAATGCCTCATTTGACATTTCCCCTTCGAATTTTTCCAATAAATTTCTCATGATAGAATCACGTTATTCGGCTTATGCCTTTGACAAATAAGGATTTGACATAGGCCGGACATATCGAACGCAATATATTATAGTGACGGCTTTGTTGATAATACTCAGACTGTTGACTTCTTAAGTTTCTACCTGAAAAAACAGTGTTGCATTGAATTTTAATCCTTGGTTTATTCATGAATCACCTGTACTGGTTTTAGAGCCAATGGTTGATCAGGTATCAGCATTATCTGGGATCCCTCTTTCCCAATCTGCTATATTGGTTTCTTTTGTAAATGTAAAGTCACCAAATCCGATTTTTGTGATCATCCACAGGCAACTCCAGAACCTTGTCTGCTTGAAGCTGTATATGCTTGTTTTTTAGGTTAAGATATTGAAGACAGCTCCTGCATTAGCTATAGTCAATTGTGCTTCTTCATTCTGGAAATGCATAGCGGGAGATTTAGAAGGACTTCCAGTGACTTACTGAGGATTCTGACCGCTCTCAGATTTAAGCGATATTCACGATTTTTGCAAGATGTTAACTCGTGTTAATTCGAATAGAGAAATGTCCAGTAAGATCGTGAAGCCCCCTTCTTTTCACACCATGTTAAACGTTAATTTTTCCTCAATGATGCGCGTGGCAATTGGTAGAACCAAAAATAAAGCTATAACAGTCCTTGAAGGCTTGTTGTTGTTTGCTTTGCTTTTCGTTTGTGTTAAATTGTACGATGCCAGAAGTTAATAAAATGGAAAATTAATCAACTCTTTCACTCAAAATGCTATCTATGCTCTCGAAAAATACTAACAAAGGACACGCTTCAATTCATACCTAACCTGTATCCTAACGTCTAACAGCCTACAACTTTATACGAAAGGGGTGTATCTACTAGGAATGAGAGTATAAAGATAGGTCAGAAATTAACAAAAAAATGTATTGGGCAGATTTAATTAATGCGTATTTGAGAATAAAAATACATGTAAACAAAAAACAGGTGTTAAATTCATGGCTGCCATGTTTGTTACCTATGCCCTAACGGATAGCAAAGTGACTACATTTTCGACCTAACACCTTACATTCGCTCTGGCCTGTTAGATCGAGCAATGTTAACTGGCCGAGTCTTACAAGTCTACGTCATCATTTTTCGCGATCTAACTGGACCTAACAGACTTAACAGGGTTAACACAACCCGTGGATCATGAATACCCCTATAATGTGTACAAACCATAAGGACATCTGTGATTTAATCCAAAGATTTCATTTGAATTACATATATGGTTCTTTATAATTTTTTAATTCTTTTATTTACACGATACTTTCTGAACAATGGAGATTATATTAAGCTGAAGTACTGAACATTGAAATACTTGAACTGCTATATTATTAAATAGCATTACAATATATAGTTAAATTCTAAAGTAGCTTATTGGCAGAAACATACATTTTGTTGTTTTTACTCCAAGGACCGAATACATGGTCAATTTTTAAGTTTGCTTTTAGATTTAAACTCCCGGTCCATTAACAGCGATAAGAGGTAGCTTGGTAAACGGGTCGATAATGATTTTTCTACAGTCCGCAGAGTCGGGAATTATCGATCAGGCTTTACAATAACTGTCCGGATGACGTCGGAGTTCATTGCCTTGTTGCAGGGTGAAATTAGGCCAGATAAATGTTTGTTTACAAGACGGCGGATCGTTTCAATGAGTGCTTGCTATTCTTTATCGGTTGAGGGAAGAATTGTAATAATTTAACATACTGAATCGATTCGAATTTCCAATTTTATTGAGATGTAGACAATCTTTTCTCCTGGACGTCCCAAATATTACAATAGAACCGAAAGCACTCGTTATTTAACAAGAAAAATAGTTTTCTTAATTAAACTTAATAAAATCAAATGAAAAAGCAATTTAACCTTATGAACTAAATTCACTACTTTTCGTGGTCCGCTTGACCAATTAATATCATTCAATTAATTAAGGTTTTACGTTGAGATAAAAAAGTCAGCTCAATAGGCAGGATTTGAGGAAAATTATAGGCCTATGTACCGGTCACTGTCTTTTTAACTATTGTACTACCTGAAGAAGATGGGCAAAACGGACAGAAGAACATGCCGACTCTGTCAGGAAGAACCAGAGACATCGTCACATATCGTTTGTGAATGTAAACCTTGTCACAATACAGACTTCGGCAAGGCGATTCTTACACCAAAATGGTGCTCGAAGAGCCACCGAGGAAATTGGTTAGCCTTAAAGAAAAAATTGTATTTATCAAGGTAGGGTTAAAATATATAGGGGTTCCACAATCGATCTACCGGACGCAGACATGTTTAAAATTTGAAAAATGTAAATACTTGATGTTTTATTATTTGGTTTAGAAATTGTTAAGACACATCTCCTTTATTGCTAAGCTACTTTAGCTCTTTTTCTTTCGGGTTTTATTGTACTTACTAAAGTATACACTGGTACTCTCAACACGACACGCAAGAATTGCACAATTACACAGAAGACAAACACTTTGAGCCCTGAAGATGATCTCAATAAAGATCGAAACGTTGGCACGATAAAGAAAATGTTTTTCTGAAACCTACATGACACCAGACCGCATCTCACGATTTCTGAATAATTATTAAAGTATACTTTAATGAGAGTTATCTCGTCTTATATTTTATGTTTTATTGGTTGGTTTAGGTGTTATTAAGTATCTGGTCTTATTCATTTAACATGTTTAGTAAACATTGGCAAACCTGACTAGCATACAGGAAAAAAAATAAAAATTAACTTTTGATGTTTTATTTGTTTCTATTTGTTGTTGGTTTAGGTTTTATTTAGGATCTGGTCTTATTCATTTAGTATCTTTAGTCGGCAAATATGTCTAGCACACAACAACAAAAATATTAAAAATTAACATGTGATGTGTTGATTGATGAACCTGAAATTTTATCATTACTGATCATTTTTGTCTTCCTGCCTTCACTTAGTTAGTTTGTCAGCATTGCGGCATTTCGCCATCATCAGTGTTCAAACCAAGTAAATATTCCACAATTGATCTATAGGTCGCAGAAATTTTTAAAATAAAAAAGTCAATATTTGATGTTTTATTATTTCGTCTAGGCATTGGTAAAACAGATTTCAATTTATTTATTTATGATTTAGTAAACATTGGATAATGCTTCATTTTAGCTAATTTTCTTTTGTGTTTTATCTTTAAGGTATACTTTAATGAGAGATATCTCGTTTTATTTTTTTATGATTTACTAAGTAGTGACGCTGTGACGCTTGAAACAAAATCTTCAATATTTTACGTTTTATTGGTTGGTTTAGGTGTTATTAAGGATCTGGTCTTATTCATTTAGTATGTTTAGTAAACATCGGCAAATATGACTAGCATACAACAAAAAAATATTAAAAATTAACATTTGATGTTGTTTTTGTTGATTGATGAATCTTAAATTTGATCTTTACCGATCATTTCTGTCTTCCTGCGTTCACTTGGTTATTTTGACTGACCCATTTCGGCATTTCGCCAGCATTAGTGTTGGAAATAAGTAAATATTCCACAATTGATCTATAGATCGCAGAGATTTAAAAAAAAATTAATATTTGATGTTTTATTAGTTGGTTTAGGGCAAGGGTAAAACAAATTTCAATTTATTTATTTATGATTTAGTAAACAGTGGATAATGCCTTAGTGCTGAGGTATTTTAGCTAATTTTCTTTCGTGTTTTATCTTTAAAGTATGCTTTAATGAGAAATATCTCGCCTTATTTTTTTATGATTTAGTATGCAGTGACGGTTGAAACAAAATCATCAATATTTAATTTTTTATTGATTGGGTTAGGTGTTATTAAGGATCTGGTCTTATTCATTTAGCATGTTTAGTAAACATTGTCAAACCTGACTAGCATACAGGAAAAAAATTAAAAATTAACATTTGATGTTTTATTTGTTTCTATTTGTTCTTGGTTTAGGTTTTATTTAGGTTCTGGTCTTATTCATTTAGTATCTTTAGTTGGCAAATATGACTAGCATACAACAACAAAAATATTAAAAATTAACATTTGATATTCTATTTGTTGATTGATGGACCTGAAATTTGATAATTACCGATCATTTCTGTCTTCCTGCGTTCACTTGGTTGGTTTGAGAGATGCGTTTCGGCATTTCGGCATCATCAGTGTTGAAAATAAGTAAATATTCCACAATTGATCTATAGATCGCAGAGATTTTTAAAATAAAAAAGTAAATATTTGATGTTTTATTATTTTTTCTAGAAATTGGTAAAACAGATTTCAATTTATTTATTTATGATTTAGTAAACATTGGATAATGCTTTATTGCTGAGGTATTTCAGCTATTTTTCTTTCGTGGTTTATCCTTAAAATAAACTTTAATGAGAGATATCTCGCCTTATTTTTTTATGATTTATTAAGTAGTGACGCTTGAAACAAAATCATCAATATTTTATGTTTTATTGGTTGGTTTAGGTGTTTTTAAGGATCTGGTCTCATTCATTTTGTATGTTGAGTCGGCAAATATGACTAGCACACAACAACAAAAATATTAATAATTAACATCTAATGTTCTATTTATTGATTGATGAACCTGAAATTTGATCATTACCGATCATTTCTGTCTTCCTGCGTTCACTTGGTTGGTTTGAGAGATGCGTTTCGGCATTTCGCCATCATCAGTGTTGGAAATAAGTAAATATTCCACAATTGATCTATAGGTAGCAGAGATTTAAAAAAGTTAATATTTGTTGTTTTATTATTTGGTCTAGGGCATGGGTAAAACAAATTTCAATTTATTTATGATTTAGTAAACATTGGATAATGCTTTATTACTAAGGATTTTTTTGCTATTTTTTTTTTGTGGTTTATCTTTAAAATCAACTTTAATGAGAGATATCTCGTCTTATTTTTTTAATGATTTAGTAAATAGTGTCGCTTGAAACAAAATCATCAATATTTTATGTTTTATTGGTTAGTTTAGGTGTTATTAAGGATCTGGTCATATTCATTTAGTACGTTTAGTAAACATCGGCAAATATGACTAGCATACAATAACAAAAATATTAAAAATTAACATTTGATGTTGTTTTTGTTGATTGATGAACCTGAAATTTGATCTTTACCGATGTCTTCCTGCGTTCACTTGGTTGGTTCGTCAGACGCGTTCGGCATTTCGCCATCATCAGTCTTGGAAATAAGTAAATATTCCACAATTGATCTATAGGTCGCAGAGATTTAAAAAAGTTAATATTTGTTGTTTTATTATTTGGTCTAAGGCATGGGTAAAACAAATTTCAATTTATTTATTTATGATTTAGTAAACGTTGGATGATGCTTTATTGCTGAGGTATTTTACCTATTTTTCTTTTGTGGTTTATCTTTAAAATAAACTTTAATGAGAAATATCTCGTCTTATTTTTTTATGATTTACTAAGTAATGACGCTTGAAAAAAATCATCAATATTTTATGTTTTATTGGTTAGTTTAGGTGTTATTAAGGATCTGGTCATATTCATTTAGTATGTTTAGTAAACATCGGCAAATATGACTAGCATACAATAACAAAAATATTAAAAATTAACATTTGATGTTCTATTTATTGATTGATGAACCTGAAATTTGATCTTTACCGATCATTTCTGTCTTCCTGCTTTCACTTGGTTGGTTTGTCAGACGCGTTTCGGCATTTCGCCATCATCAGTATTGGAAGTATGTAAATATTTCTAATGGCTAGGGGAGATAAGAGAGATACGAACGTTTTAGCAATTCAAATGTGTTTTCTTTGTACAAACATCTATAAACAACAGAACAGGACGAAACACTCAGGACTTTACATTCTCATCTTGGTACACGAACGGTAAAAGCAGAAGGTCGCACGTCCGCAGCGGATCAACATTGTCTTGAGACCGCACAAAGAGCCTTTGTTCTATTTATGTATAAACTCACCCTATTGACAATTTGTCGGCGTAGTTGAGCTGTTTTCAAGTTTTGTTTAATCTGCTGAGCTATTTTTCTGTCATGTTTTATCTTTAAAATAATATTTATATACCTTGGAATTTAAATATGTTTAAAACGCAGGTATTTTACCGCAAAGACTTAGGTTAAAACTTAGTTAAATTATAATTATGTGCTTTTATTAATATTTATATTAATATGATTTTTTTATTAGTACAATAAAAATTTTTGACGTTAATTTGTTTTCAAAATCAGGGGTAATGTGACATCTTACAAGTTGGATCTCACCCTCGGGATTCCGAGGATAGAAGTGACTGGGAGTTACGACGTCAATGGGAACGTCCTGCTCTTCCCAGTCAGAAGCCGGGGTGATTTCTGGGCCATGTTTTGTAAGTTTTTAACAAATCTCTTACATCTATCCATCTTAGCTTACAAGCGACAAATACAGATTGCACAGTATAATTTAAAAAAAATGTTAATAATTTTAGATGCGAGGCGGATCAACCTAAGCTCTGATGAATAACTTTGTTATATACACTGTCTTTTGGTATTTTGCTTTTTTTTTAATTGTGATTTATTTTAAGCTAACATCACCGGCGTCGGTAAGATTTACGGGAAGGAGGTTGTCAAGAGCGGAATCAAGTTCATGAAGACGGAGAAACTCCTTGTCGATTTTAAATTGGCCAGGTCCAGGTTCAGGATCCGCGACCACTTAAACGGAAACAACGTAATAGGTAATACATACTTTTATTACAGCACCATAGTTGAAGATTGTAAAAGAAGCAAGAAATTGAAAATCCAGTGAGGTTGGCTTCTAAAGCATTTACGAGACAAAAACTGAGTGAATTCGCATCAGGATTCCGTGCAATTTGCCACTGAATAAATTAAGGGTGTCGGTTTAACCGAGACTAAAATTATCAGACAACGGGAATTCACTCGGGACGATAGTATCGCATTAAGTGAGGTCACATGCATGGCCTATTAGTACGCTGGGCCAGATAGGAAAATATTAATTAACTTGAACTTCACGAGGGTCACTGGAACTCGCCGGCTTATTAAACTATAAACGTGCAATTAAGCATTAAATGGGCAGGAGAGGTAAAGAGAACAAAATTAGCAATCTAATAAAGTTTATAAAATGGGTAACAAACCATTGAATCATGTTGAACTACAATACCGTAAATAAATTTTAAATGAACTTATTGAACTTAAAAAAGCCAAATCATGGAACCAAACATAAAATACGCCAAACCTTGATAGAAATAATTGAAGTGGAATGCGCATATCAATTAACACGAAACCCAGTTTGTGAGTAGATCTATACTTTACGACGAGTGCGCCAAAGCTTGTGTACTTCATGAAATAATTACAATTGTTACAACTGTTCCCTTGTATTTGGTTCTAGTTAGATTGTTTAGAGTGTACGACTATTTACCCTTGCTTGTCAAGGTTTACACTTACTAAATTTGTTTCCACTGTAAATATAGCGGGTAGTATGTATTTTGAAACCAATACCATATTATTAAAAAAAAAACAATGCAGAGAATCATAATACTTTTACATGTCGTAGTGCTTAAATATAGGTTGAAAAAGTGTATGAAAGGATAAAAAGAGATAAATAAAGAGAGAGTGAGAGAGAGAGAGAAAGAGAGAGAGAGAGAGAGAGAGAGAGAGAGAGAGAGAGAGAGAGAGATTTATATAGGAGAGGAAGAAAAGGAGGAGTAAAAGATGGAGGGGAGAGAGAGGGGGAGAGAAAGGGAGAGACTGTGTGTGTGTGTGAGAGAAAGAGAGAGAGAGAGAGAGAGAGAGAGAGAGAGAGCGAGAGAGAGAGAGAGAAATGAGAATTAATACTGGAGGAAGAGAAAAGAAAATAATTATGTAAACGAATAAAATAAACATGAAGATTCAAAAATGATAAATAGATGATAGTATCAATATGGATAGATCGATAGATAGATTTTTATAGGAGAGGAGGAGGAGGAATAAGAGGAGGAGAATTAATATATGAAGAAGAGTAAAGAAAAATAATTATGTAAATTTTTATTTTAAACAATTTTACATCCTTAAACTATGTAAATAAATAAAATAAAATGGAAGATGAAGAAAAATGCAAAATAGATGATAGAATATGGATACATCATTAGATAGTTTATATATAGGGGGAGAGAGAGAGAAAGAGAGAGAGAGAGAGAGAGAGAGAGAGTGAGAGAGAGAGAGAGAGAAATTATGTAAACGAAAAAATAAAAAAGACGAGTCAGAAAAAAGACAAANTTTTTTAATTCTTTTATTTACACGATACTTTCTGTTTTTTGTCCAATGAGTGGGTGCCATTGTTCTCATTTTCTTTTTAACCTTCCACCTGAGGTGCTCATTGGATGGTTCATCGGAGAGGAATTATTATTTATCATTATTTGCCCTCGTTGAGAAAATATCCTCTCAGGGAGATATTCGCTGTGTAATTGAATGCCAGGGGGGATCTTCATCATTTTCTTTGTGCCTTTGTGAATGACCTGTGCTGGCCGAATTTCCAGTTCTACATGGGAAATATATCTCTCGCTGGTACAGCAATTATGAGAGAATTGACAGGCCTTTGGCTCTGTAATCCTTTAATTGCTTTTGCGAGAAAGGCCATGGAATACAAATTCAACTTAATAAGGGAGTGAATTCAATTAATTAAGGTTTTTAGTTGAGATAAAAAAATCAGTGTCACATGCCGGATTCGAACCCACGACCTTCGGCTAGATACGCCGCTGCTCTACCACTTGAGCTATCGTGACTTCGATCCTCTCGGGACACTAACTTCCCATCTCACCCCCACCTTTTGAATTTTCCCGCCTTTTTGCCATTTTTCAATCCGCTTGTGACACTGACTTTTTTATCTCAACTAAAAACCTTAATTAATTGAAAGATATTAATTGATCAAGCAGACCACGAAACTAGTGAATTTAATAAGGGACTTTAATTATTAATTTTGTTACTCGTTGTTAAATTGTTATATTATTTCCTCTCCTAAGATTTTTATTACTAGGCGGAAAAAATTGATTTTTAGTTTAGATTATTATTTTGGTTAATGTATTTTTTATTAATTAAAATCATCTTTAATAGTACCACTGAAAAATAAATTAAATTACGATAAAATCAAAAGAATTCAAAACTCCGGCAGACGGTTTTTTCCATGTTTAAAATTTATTGTAAATGTATTGTTATAGTAATGACTAGTAATGCTTAATAATAAATGCATTCTTCTTCTTCTACTTGTATAAAAAGTTAGAGGGAGAAAAAAGTGATAAATAAATAATCTATTTGATAAATGAATGAGTGGAGAGATAGATAATTAGGTAGATTACGAAGATTGAAGAAGGGAGTGATAAATTTAGAAAAAGGCGAAATTAGAAAGAGCAATGAGAGAAACAAATGTGAAAATTGAGTGAGATTATTTATGTTAAAATGCAAAAAAGGAAGCCAGAGAAAAATATTTAAATATGAAAGCAGGTGGATAGATACAGTGATAGAGTGAGAGAGGGAGGTTATACGTATTATTCTTCTGTTTTAAATCAACTATTTGGGGGCGTCGGTGGCCGTAACGGTTTAAGCCAGAAACACTTACCCGATGCTACGCCATGCGACGCTACCCGATGCTACCCGACGCAAATCAAAACTCCGATTTTCCATAAGGTTGCATTACCCCCGTGCACATCTACCCGATGCTATGCCACGCTAACCTACCCGACGCTCTGCGATCCCCACTGTCCAGATTTTCGTCGGGTCGCGTCGAGTACAGTCGAAGACAAAAGAACCGGACACTCATATTTTTATTCAACCTACATGTATTATTGTCGTTATATTAATTACAACATACTTATTTTAATATAAACCAAATTAACTGTGATTAAAAATTAATTAGTTTTTATTTAAAAAAAATTTTAATGGTTTGGTAAAAAATTATCAAAACACCGGAATACGATTTTTTGTTATAATGAATTTTACTAACAATTTATTGTACTCGCTTCGGCGGTACATATACTAAAATTGGAACAATTTATTACACGGTTTTGCTCAAAAAATTTACTTAACAATTTATTTCATAGTTTTGCTCGTAAAATTACACATTTTGTAAAGCCGGGTAGCATCAGAACAGGACACTCATATTTTTTGTAGTTTATTTCAAACTAAGTACATGTAATTTTGTTGTTATATTAATTACAACGTGTTATTTTAATGTAAACCAAATTAAACGAGATAAAAAATACATAAGTTTTTATAAACATTGTTTAATTATGATGTTAGGAGTAACTTTATTTAAAACAATTAAGTTAACAAACAATTTATTAGATGGTTGTGCTCATAAAATTTAACTAACAATTTATTGCAAGGTTTTGCTCAAAATAGGGCATTAAGAACAAAAGACGCGTTGCGATTGTGATAGTGATTATTGTGGTAAACGCTGTGGACTGTACGCGAAGTGTACTTGCGTCGGATAGATGTGCACACCCCACCAAAACGTGTCAAGGCGTCGGGTAGCATCGGGTAGCGTCGCATGGCGTGGCATCGGGTAAGTGTCTTCCTGGCTTTAGGCGTTGACACGGCGCTCATCACTGTAAGGTGAAGGTCCCGGGTTCGAATCCAGCGGCCCTGAATTCGAACCCGGCATACTTGCAAATGGGCTTTTTTTGGGCCAGGGGGCACCCTGAGGTTTATATGACCTCTGCTGTTGTGAACCCTCGTAAAAAAAATTAAATAACTATTTAATTTCAATCATTAAATCAATCCATCAATCTAAGATCGTTATCCAGAATCAGAATGGATAACCTACTCTATAAATGTTATATTAGTCTATGAAGGTATATCGCTATTCTATATTTGGAGAAAAATACAAACAGATTTTTGGGATTGAACAAGTTGTTTTAATGCAAAAGTTTTTGATGTATGAAAGTATTTGTTTAGAAGAGAAAGTGCTATAATTAATCTATTTGATTTTTATGGCCAAATCAGGTACTATTGTGGTTTCAGGCTAAGTAGAAATATAAGTTATAATTTGATAGAATTTTCAATAAAATCCTGACTGAATTGCAGTGTTTTATTTTGACAATAAGATCTTCCCCGTTCTATTCTCATTTGCCTTTATAATTATGTAAAATAAGAAGAGGAAACACAACCTGAGTATAAAGGGGGAAAGCTAGCAAAATTATTCAGATCGCCGCAAGAAGAATTGGTTTGCCAGTTTTGTTGGGTTAAAACTTCAATTACACCTTAAGAAATTGTATTAAATTGACTTTTCTTTCCATCAAAATTGGAGATTATTCAAAACCTTTGAGTTATCTGTATTGAAAATATGTTAAAATCTGACTGGACAGAATTTTATTATTCGCTTCGGAGAAGGGAGAACTCGAATAAATTTATATATTCCTCTTGGTTGTCACGTTTCGTTGCGTTATAACGAAGCGGTGCCAGGTCTTACAGAGTTACTTCCTATTTTGAAACCGTTTTGGCTTTTTTTTAATCATCCGACGCAATGGATTTGCACAAGAAACACAATGTTTTATCGTTTCCTTGTACTATAATTATCTCCCGAGTCGTAAAATATGTCTAAAAATAATACGAACTCGATATTTCCCACCGGCCGAGACCGGTTGCGGTCAATTTATTTATCTAGGGGTGACGCCAAGGATCATGTCTCGTTAGATAATCAACAGACTCTGGATATGACGCCGACGCCGCCGTCGCGCTTATCCTTTTATCTGAAACCTCGAAAATTTTAAATTGGCACGACCTTGTTCTTCTTAGAAACACTTATCGGATGGTGTCACGTGCCAAAAACCATTTAATGACTTTTACAGATTGATTGCGTTTTTTTTTTAATAAATGAAAATGATAAAAGTTAATCATCATAAGTCCGCATCTTCTCCCTGTGATTCCAGTGGAGTTTCACTTTGAAGCCATCTTCATTAGGACTTTCCTGCGGTGATGGATAGGTGGAAATCAATCGTCTAGTCCGTGTTTAATCGCCATAGTTTCAAACTCTGACATTACGGCAATCTAAATCGGCCATTTCTGATCTTAATCTCTCTATAACTTCTGACACAATAAATGTTTTGTTATAATCCAATGAAGCATTTGCAACGCGGAAATGACGCGATAAACATTTTCACATTAAATTCATTAGATTTCGTGGTCCGATTGACCAAATAACATCGTTCAATTAATTAATCTTTATGTAAGGTTTTCGTTGAAATGAAAAAGTCGTTGTCACGAGCGGGATTCGAACCCACGACCTTCGGCTAAATACGCCGCTGCTCTACCTCTTGAGCTAACGTGACTTCGATCCACTCAGACACCAACTTCCCATCTCAACCCAACCTTTCGATTTTTTTTGAAAAATTGTAAAAAGGAGGGAAAATTCGAAAGGTTGGGTTGAATGGGAAGTTATGTTCGATTATTAAAACAATTCCAATTAAACGAGTATACTATATGGGAAACTTAGGGGTCGACAGACAGCTGAGGTCATCGCCGGTACTCCCCCGCCTACTCGATATTCCTTGGTGCGCGTTAGTAACTCTTTTTACTGCTCGGTGTAAGACACTCACCCAAGAGTACTCGATGTTTCTTGATGCGTACCTGAACACGTTTCATTCTCGCTAATAACTACTTTTATTCCTCAAACGTCACACCCTAAACCCAGAATACTTGATATTCCTCGGCTCGGAGTTGAACCATCGACATTCCGATAATAATTTTTTTTAAATTCCCAGCCGTCCAACGAGTATTCGATATTCCTCGGCTCGAGAGAACGCTCACCATTTTTAATTGATGTATTGGATCTTCTTGAGGTCATTTTCAAAAATCAAGCTTCAACTAGAGCTCACCATTTTTGCTAATAATTACTTTCACTACCCTGTCGTTCCATTCGGGCATACAACCATAATTAACCAAATCAGACCCCCATTCTTAGAAATGGGGACTGACTAAATGATCCCGAAAACATTATTTACAACATCCTATAAAGTCTCAATGGACTATCAAAGAGAGGAAGAACACATGAGAGCATCAGATACAATGAATTGGCACACAAATGGCTGCAAAACATACTAAGGAAGAGGATCGGGCGTTTTCTATACAAGCCCAAAACATGAGCAATCAAACTCATTATGGAAGGACACTTCGGTCTTTCAAACAGAAATACATGCCATTAATGCTTTTCCCTGAAAAATCTTAAAAGAGGTTGCACTGACAAAAAAATCCTCATAAGATCTGATAGCCAAGCAGCCATTAAAGCAATAGCATGTAAAAGAATTACATCAAAATTCTTTTCATTCTTTCATTCTTTTCAGTGAATGCATCCAAAATCTCCAAAACCTGGGAAAACAAAACAACCTGATGATATCTTGGGTGCCAGAGTACAGAGGAATTTTCCGTAATGAGAAAGAGACGGACTGGCCAGAGGAGGATCTGCAAGACCATACATAGGCCTTGAACTCCCCCCCTATACTGGGAAACACAAACATAGAATCCTCCATCGCAGAATGGATCCAAACAAAACAAAGGAGAAGGGGATAAACTCTAGCGACGCAATAAAATTATGATGAAACAACACTCACCAAGGCTGGCAAAATCCCTGCTGCAATTGGAGAGGGCTAAACTGAGAGGAGTGGTAAGACTACTAACCTGTCATTGGCATTTGAGAAAACATCCACACAACATGGGCATATACAAAGATGAGGAGGAGGAAACAGCCACTCATATCATCTTCGAATGCGAAGCAACAGCTCAATGGAGATTTAACCTAACATACGAAAAAAACTTAGGGGATCAAATTGTAGCAGCGACAGTCAATGACCTGATACTTCTGAGAAGGAGGATTGAATCTATTGCACTGAACTAAGGAACTAGGAAGGTACAATAAGCCAGAAGGCTGCAGTGTCTAGGGAGTTCAAACCCTGCTTCCTAGTCCTACCATACCCTGTCATTCCAAACTCAACCCAGAATACTCAATATACTTAATTTTTTTATTTTTACGTGAAGCAAAGGACATTGATAGCCTAACCTCCCTTTCTACCTTTCTCTTTTGGTCTTTATATCGTTTTATCCTAATATTCTATTCTTGTTTCTTTAGCCATGTTATGACCAATAGTAATCGATTCTCTCTTGTCCGTATCGTATTACTAACCTCTCTGTATCTCATGGTTTATTCAATTGTGGATAAAATATCACAAATACACATATAAAGAAAGAAGATAATCTGTTTAAATTCATAGTACCCCATTAGTACTTGATATTCCGCGAAGCAATTGGGGTACGGCCCTCTATTCGCGCTAATAAGTTCATTCACACTCCAGCCTTTTCACACCCATACTACTAGATATTGCTCAGAGCGAGATTAAACACTCTTCTTTCTAATGAATTACTTTCATCGCCAGACCTCTTTTTTGGCTTTATTTTGTCTCTTTCGCGTTTTATTCTTAATAATTGTTTTTCCTGTTTATCCAGCGAAGTGATGATCAAGCCAAGACGGTACCCGACTCTTTCTTTGTTTATTCGATTGCTAGCCTCTCTTTAGGCTCACGCAAAATCAGAAACTTGTTAAAACATCAAAATCTGATAAGCATTCCCATTACCCACAAATGTTGAATTTACTGAATATTTAATTTGTTTGTATAGAAAATTCTTGCTTTAAAACAAAAGAAGAGGCAACACGCTGGCTCCTTCTATTTATACAATTGATGTTTTATCGTCCCCATTATAAATTATGGTATAGTAAATTTTGTGGTTTGTCTTGTAGGTGAGGCGATGAACCAATTTTTGAACCAGAACGCCAACGAGATTATAGAAGAGATGAAGCCAGCCGCTGCAGCTGCGATCGGAAAGCACTTCAAAGCATTTCTGAACGGAGCCTTCCTTCAAGTGCCGATCCCGGTCTGGCTCAAGGAGTGATATTCAGCCCGTCCGGCGTAATACAGCCCTTTGAAAGAAATGAGACGAAAGGAAAGTACGTACAGCTCAAGTGATTTTCCTTTGTGATTTGAAACTGTGGGCTTTAGACGACCCCACCTAACAGACTGTGCACTGGCTACATCACAATTATTTATTTCAGTAAATATTATTTTAATATCTAAGATACCGGTGTTGAGATTGTCACAGAAAATAGATATCTTGAAATTAGACATGTACAAAGATTTTTTTCACTCGATGATTGTTGTGATACAAATTGTGTTTAAAAATATTTAAAAGTATAAATTTTTAGCTATTAGATAAATTTAATCTGATCTAAAAAATTATCTGAATATAAAATGAGACCAAATATTAATAGTTAATTTAATAAGAAGGACAAATTGAATGAAAAATATCTATAAATGTTGCAGGTTTGATAGTCAAACCTTTTGTAAATATTTTAAATAATTGTTTAATTGTTTTTTCTTGAACTTTTTCTTAATTTTTAGAATACAAATTTACTAAAAATAAACAATTTATTGTAATAATACATTTTTTAAATATATAAATAAAATGTTTTTATGTGAAGTGACCCACTTAAAAAATGTAATGTATTAAAACATAAAATTTTCAACGGATTGCTAGTGCAAACGTTTCCGACAACCAAAAGAACCGGCGTTTTTCATATTTTTATTTTTACACCATTTTCTTAGAACCAATAAAAGGTAACAAAACCAAATTTATTATGCGGGTTTTACAAATCAATTCGAACATAGCAACAGGAATTTCATGAGATTGATATAATTTTTCAGGAAAAAGTGTTTAAAAAAAATTGTAATTTTTGATAAACTTGTGATTTTTCTTCTCAGCTTGTCGTAATTTTTTTAAAAATCTTCTGTATTTTTATACTAATAGTATTTATTCAAAAACAAAAAAATAAATTAACCAAATATGTTGGGTAGTCTCAGAGAAATCGGGTCAAAATATTGATAAAATACCACTTTTATTTTTAAATTTTTATGTGAGGAAACAGCGAGCATTCAGTCAATTCCGAAAACTTGAATTTCAAATATTAGAAGAAACTTTCTATTTATCAATATTACAAAATGGTTACAAAAAAAGTCCAGAAAGGCTTGTATATTTTTTTTTGATTCTTCAGTGAAATAAAAATTAATTGATATTTCAAAGTGGGTCACTCCTCAGAAGTCACCTTTATACAGCAATTCAATTTGCTTTAAATTGTGTAGATATCATTAGATATAAAAAAAATCTACTTTTGCTGTGAGCTATTTTATAAGGGCATTGTTTTTAAGACTTGAAACTGAATACAATTTGCATAATTATTTCCAACTCATATTTTGATTTTGTTTATATTCTCTCATAAATAAAGCTATATAAAAATATTATCTACTTCTGTAATAATAAAAACAAACCACCATAGATAAAAAAAAATGATTTATTTATTTACAAAAAATAAAGAAATGTATAATTAAAATTATTTACAGTACAATTTACACAAACATGATTTGGCAGAAGTTGAAGCCAGTTGTTAAAAAATATAATTTTGATCAAACTTATTTCTTATTTATTAGGCATCAACTAACAAATCATCATGCTAGATGCAAATTTCAAACCTATAAAGGAAAAATTTTTGATTTCTAAATTTTAAAAACCTAAATTTAAAACTTGAAAGACTAATTGTACACATTGATAATCTTATTAAGCTTATTAAATTGAAAAAAAGGTAAAATAAAATTAACCCCGCTCGTGAAATTTTTTTTAATAAGATCGCGTCTTTTTTTTTTTAATTATACTAAAAATTCATCTAAGGACTAAATTTCCTCCGAATAACTTTTAAAAATCTAAGCACCTGAATTGAAAAAAACAAACAAAAACAAATTCGACACAAAAAACAAAACAGATGCCGGTTTATTCTTTTAAAAGTTAGCAGGCAAAAATAAATAAAATTGTAAATAAGTCTTTCGTTTTAATCTTTAGGTATCCAGAATTTGGTCGGGATCCGTCCAAATGCGTCATTCATCACTCTCATAAACACGTAGCCTAGGCTGTCGCCGATATTTTCCTTCAACTCGTCCACAACCTCCAGAGCGTTTTTGTTTAGAAACGTGTTCACAGTGTGTCCTGAAACCGTTATTGCATTAATACTAATAATTCGATGTATAATTCATGTTTGAATAATTGTACAAGAGCTGGAATTGATGAAGGAGAAAATGGAAAATGAAAAATACGATAGGTAATCAGATCGAGATGGAGAGACAGAGATGGACATATAGATAGACATATACACAGGTATGTAAATAGATCGATAGTCAGGTAAAAAGATATAGATAGACAGATAGAGATAAATAGATAGATAGATAGATAGATAGATAGATAGAAAGATAAATAGATAGATAGATAGAGAGAGAGAGAGAGAAAGAGAGAGAGATGGAGNATAGAGAGAGAGAGAGAGAGAGAGGGGAGAGAGAGAGAGTGAGTGAGAGAGAGGTTGGGACTTTGAGGGAAAAGAAATGATAGAGTGAGAAAGGAAAACAAACAAAAACCAAAGAAATGTTAGAGATGAGTATGGTAGGTACACAAGAAGATTGATTGACGGATAGAAAGATTAATAAATATCACAAAAGAAAAAGATGACTAGTTATACAGAAATAAAGAACTCGAGAGAGGAAGAGAGAGAGAAAGAAAGAGAGAGAGGGAGATAGAGAGAAAGAGAGAGAAAGATAGAGATAGAGAGAGAGAGAGAGAGAAAGGGAGAAGGAGAGATAAACAGACAGCTACATAGAGAGAGATAGCGAAGAGAGAGAGAGAGTGAGAGAGAGAGAGAGAGAGAGAGAGAGAGAGAGAGAGAGAGAGAGAAATAAATGTCAAGAAATAACACATAAATATTGCTTAATATTTTCAATTAGTAAAATAAATTAATATTGATTATTAATTTAATTTTTTTAAATAAGAAACACTGTCAAATATAATGGTTCTTGTTTTGTTATTGTTGTTAAAACTTAAATTTTTAGCATTAAAATTATGTATTTAATTTAATTGTTTTCAACCAGAGCATGAGTTAAATGCAAGTATTTTTCCTTTCTCCTGAGTTATCTTGATAATATAGTTTAGACAGACAGACAGATAGAAAGATAGAAAGAGAGTCTTCGGGACTTTGGGAGGAAAGAAATGAGAGTGAGCAAGGAAAAAAAAAGAAGTAGAAATGTTAGTGATAAGTATGGCAGGTACACAAGTAGATTGATTGACGGATAGAAAGATCGGTATAATAAATATCGACAGATAAACAGTTATATAGAAATAAAGAAAGCGAAAGAGAGATAGAGATAGATAGATAGAGAAAGAGAGAGAGACAAAGGGAGAAAGAGGGAGATAAACAGATATGTAAATAAATCGATAGTTAGATAAAGAGATAGATAGGTAGAGAGAGGGAGCGAGAGAGGGAGAGAGAGAGAGAGAGAGAGAGAGAGAGAGAGAGAGAGACAGAGTGGGAGAGAAAAACAAACAAGTACCAAAGAAATGTTACATATGAGTATGATAAGAACACATCAAGAAGATTGATAGGTCGGATAGAAAAATTGATGTCATAAATGAAGACAGATAAACAGTTATTTAGATATAAAGGAAGAGAGAGAAAGAGAGTGATAAAGAGAGGAAGAGATGCAGGGTGAAACAATAAGTGGAGATAAACAAAGAGATGATAGAAATAGGTATGATAGATAATAAAGAAATAGAGAATGAAGGAAGTGTGGAAACAGGATGAGAGATAATCGAAATTTCATAAATGATCGAAAACTGACATAGTGCAGGTAGATTTGCAATCAGATATATAGAAAAAAAAGAATAATGGATTTTAAGGGGGAGAGGAAGTGAGAGGAAGAGGGAGCGAGAGAGAGAGAGAAAGAGAGAGAGAGAGCGATTGAGATGGAGAGAAAAAGGAAAGTTATTTTTCAAATAGTGAGTGAATACAGATGGATAAATAATTGTTAATTAAATCCCCATTTTTAATGGAGATTTAAAAATGAAATCTACTTATACATACATAATGGCACATTTTTGAGAAGCAAGGGATCGAGGTACTTAAGGTTTCGCAATTTAAACTGTTAAATTCTAAAATTTTTAAAATATTTTTCCAACTGTTCATCTTAGGATGAGAATTCGATTCATTTACATGTATTTAGTTAGATATTAGAGGATCATTTACCCAAAACTTTATTTCCGTTGAAGAGGTTGTCTAGGTGAACCCTGCAGTTCTGTAGCCTAAAATCCACCTTCATCTGTTCGACACGCATCACCTCTTCACCTTGCGTTTTCGGAAAAGTCACTTTCATGTAGACCTCCGTGGTAACATTTTCTAGCAGAAATCATTACGTGTTTTAACCTTTGAATTTTGGCGATGGTTCTACCATTGAACGATTACTTACTCAAAACTAGCTTAGCGTCACCAACGCCGATAAGAGGTAGAAGAAGTATGTTCCCTTTCAAATCGTACTGCGATTCCGTTCTTATTTGTGGAATGTGAAGTCCGATGTCAAACCTTCCATTTTTGATGTCAAGCCTGAAAAAAATTAATCATTAGTTTAAGTTTAAAAGTCGGGTCAGGGCTTGTTTATCAGACAGATAATCAATCGCCACGGGGAAAAGTCATGTGATGAAAATTACGAAACGTTCAACATCTCGAATGCTTCTTGAGAATCGTTTAGAGCCCGGACAAGAGTAAAAGTGGCCTTAATAGTCTCCGGTAGGAAGAGTAAGTTATAGACTTTCTAAAAATCGCCTCACACACCCGGGCCGGGGTCGTTCCTACCAACGGGGATTATCTCTTACCCATTCTGCCAGTTGAGTAACAGCCGGATTACGCAATCGGCGGCGTCAGCTGTTCCAGATTTGCCTTCTTCGCGGTCAATGAAAGTATTCTACGTGTCCGCGTTGAACAGCTATTACTTTTTAAATTATAAAAGTTTTTATGTTCCAATCTAGTAGATATTTAGTTTGTTGTTACGAATATATAAGAATTATTCCGTGATAAACGGGATCATATGAAAAACCGGTTTTCAACATATTAGCACACATCTTATTTCAATCTTGAAATAAATTTGAACTCCAGTCGAACAATGCCTGACAACAGGCGACATCGCAAGTATGACATTCCTAAAGTGAATATAATCCACACAATGCGGGATAAATATTTGGCACTGTCGCAGGGATTTGGATCTCACAATGTTCATGTACAGAAACATATATTATAAGAGTCTCCGCGGTTAGGTGGCAGACTCGTTAAGTGACAGGATTTAACCGAAAGGATTTCAGCTTTTGATTTGCTTTTCGTGCGCCGAGAAAACTTGGCTATTAAAGATGTCACAAGTTTTGAAATGTGTCTGCATAACAAATCACAATTCAGGGCAGTTTTAAATTCACTTTCAAGATGTGAAATGAAACAAACGAAACATCACTGCTTAATGCTTACATTCAACTAAGCGGGTTATCGTTGTGAAAACTAATTTGTCGGGTTTAAAGGTTCATGTCTATATGTGACACAATATATGTGACGACAAAAAATACTTTAATTTCTTAAATACACTATTATACTAAAACGTAAAACTAAAATTAGCCGAAATAAACTTTAAAAAACCCTCAAAATAAGTTAACATTATTACACAAAAATTAAGTTTTCCATTTACCATAAATTAGCTTTGTTAAACGTCTCATACTTACATAAATGAGTTGTGAAAAGCATAAACTTTAAGAAATTTTTATCTTCCTTTCAAATTTTGCTAGATCTGTTTGAAAACTCTATAGATTTAAAATCAATTAAATATTTCTGAAACCTACATCACACCAAACCGCATCTCATGATTTCTGAATAATTATCGATTAACGGTTACTAATCACCACACACTTAAATATTACAGTTTCGATTTTTTCCTACTATTACTATTTTGTCAAGGCTGAAAGTAGTAAAATGTTCAAAGATGGTAGCTTAATGTTTGCTAAACTAAAGATGAAACCAATCTAACTAGCTCATGATGTATATCACAAAACGTAGAAAATGAGAAGATTTAAAAAAATTTGCCAACGTTTGGATTATGGTTTGGTTAGGATAGGTAAGGTTTAGTGATAGGGTTTGGAATTTTATTTGGTAGGGGTTAGGTTATCGATGATTAATTTTTTTTCAATGCGATGCTCGATTTTTTTTGGGGTTCGAATGCAGGGCCGCTGGAGAAGGATGAAGAAAATCGAAGATACCGATAATAGCTGGATAAATAGCTAGCAAGATAAATTGATAAATAGATGAAAAAGTGAAAGTGAAAGGGGTAGAGAGAGAAAAAAGAGCGAAATAGAGAGGAAAGAGAGAGAGAGAAAAAGAGCGAAATAAAGAGGAAAGAGAGAGAGAAAAAGAGCGAAATAGAGAGGAAAGAGAGAGAAAGAGAGAGAGAGAAAGAGAGAGAGAGAGAGAGAGAGAGAGAGAGAGAGAGAGAGAGAGAGAGAGAGAGAGAGAGAGAATCAGAGAATCAGTAAATGCGAGTATGCACCTATTATACATATCGAGAAATCAAAATTACAAATGAAAAATTTGATATATTCAAAGAAAACGTTCATTGTAGCTGTAAACTAGGCTCAGGTCAAACCTCTTTTGAGTGCAACCCAAATTCAGATGCATCAATAAGTTTAAAATTTCAAAGCCCATCTTGAAAATCAGAATGTAAAGAAATTACGTACAATTCGCTCTCAAAATATCAAACTTTTCACTGAGGTGGCAGGATTGTATGTCCTTATAATAATAAATTTATTCTTCATGATTTAAATTGATTTTTTTGCGAGGGTTCGCAACAGCCGAGGTCATATCAACCCTCAGGGTGCCGGTGCCCATTTGTAACGTAGGGGTCCAATTTTAGTTCTTCACTGCACATTAGTAATGGGAAATTTGTTATATTGTCATAAGTAATCTCTAATAAGCTCATAATTATATTAATGTAAGCAACTGGTGATGAGAAATTCAGCTATAACGAAGGTATAATTATTATTGATAATTAACCGGGGTGCCGGTGTTTTTGAACAAAAGCCCATTTGTAAGTATGTTGGGTTCGAATGCAGGGCCGCTGGATTCGAACCCGGGACCTTTACCTTACAGTGATGAGCGCAGTGTCAACGCCTAAACCGTTACGGCCACCGATGCCCCCTCGATTTTTATTTACTTATTTTTTAGTTCTTCAGAACAATAACTTTTCTAACTTTTATAATCCGATTTAAAAATTCCAACAAAATTAGGATATTTAGTATGTCCCATTTCATGAAAACTAAAATCAAATTCTAGAATTGCTTTGATTTTATTATTTTAAGATGGTAGATGGAACAAAATAATGTCACTTCCTAATGCCTAAATCAGCCACACTTAAGAAAAAAATTCGTTAGGTGGTCTTATGATTTGTATAGTTTGTAGAAAAATTATCTCTATAAGAAAATATTTATTTAGAAATCGTGAGATGCGGTCTGGTGTAATCTCACGATTTCTACATAAATATCGATTAACGGTCACTAATCACCACACATTTCTATAAGAAAAGATACAAAAATTAAGTCGATTGGCCCTTGGTCCAATCAGATTTGCTCGCAATTCTGAAGGCGCTGCCGACGAGCAAAGTCTGTTCAGGAGAGATAGTGAGGTCAGCCAGGCCATCGTAAACCGTCAAATTCACAACAGGAAAACAGAAATTATAAGGGAAGTTTTAATAAGGCTAGAAAAGCAGTATCATGCTGGCACTCATGGAAATTAAATGGCAGCTAGTTATGCAAAGAAATCAGATTTAGTGTCATGCTTCACACGACATTACGTAAAATAGAACTTTTCAATTAATTAATTTTTAATTAAGGTTTTGGTTGAGATAAATAAGTCAGTGCCAAGATGGGGATTCGAACCCACGGGTTGATGGGAAGTTGGTGACCGCGTGGATCGAAGTCACGATAGCTCAAGTGGTAGAGCAGCGGCGTATTTAGCCGAAGGTCGTGGGTTCGAATCCCGCTCATGACACTCACTTTTTTATCTCAACCAAAATCTTGATTATAAATTAATTAATTGAAAAGAATTTTTTGGGTCAATCGGACCACGAATCCTAATAGATGTTAAATAGAACTATGATGAAAAACATAAGCATGATAAAAAGAGATTTTTTTCACTTTATCCTTCGAAAATTACATGTAGTTGAGATATTACAGGCAAGAATGGTTTTCGTTCACAGAACTGAGTTGTGTAAGCCCCAATACTTGGCCAGGCTCGTTAAGAGATGTAAATTTAAAAGCCAGCATTTTCTCTTTGTGATCTGTTCTTTCTCTTTGTGGTTACGAGCCACCGTGATGTGGGGTTATCGGAACAAAAAGTTGATTCTGAATAAAAATACAATTCGAAACCAAATGGACCCTCGATTTACCGCAGTTTCTAATGGGGGAGACTTTACTACTTTCTTCCATCAAATACCGCTTCCAATTCGATCCGACTAAACGTTCGTATCAGAGAAAAGCGGTCTGCATTTGTGAATAGAAATTGAGTTGTATTCCTGGAGGATTTATATTTACAAGGTGATTCGACTAATATCGTTGCTTTCGGTACGTGCCCTCTCACCAATGATCATCACTTCCTCATCCATCTAATAACTCCTGAGATTATCTGTTCAACGTTTCAATCAATAAATTCCAAAATCGTTCTACATAAAAATATAATAACTAAGTATTCTTTCCATTAAGGTCTTGGTTAAGATAAAAAATCCAGTGACATTACCGGGATTCGAACCCACTACCTTCGGCTCAATACGAGGCTGATCTATCACTTGAGCTATCGTGACTCGGATCCACTCGGACAACTCCCCATCTCAACCTACAACCTTTCGAATTTTCCCCCTTTTTTGCCATTTTCAAGTTAGTGTCCGAGAGGATCGAAGTCACGAAAGCTCAAATGGTAGAGTAGGCGTATTTAGCCGAGGGTCGTGGGTTCGAATCCCGCTCGTGACACTGACTTTTTTTTATCTCAATCAAGACTTTACAAGAAAAGAATAATTAATTGAAAGATGTAACTTGGTCAATGACCACTAAAACGTAAATGATATAATAACTAAGGTGAATTATTTTCATCTAATTCATTAATAATTGCATAATAATTGTTCCAACCTTTTTTCAATGAAACAAACTGGCAACAATTGACACGAATTTAGTTTATAACTGCAACAAAGCTGTATAATTCCTCAATTTTGATTTTTTTTCCTACACTTTCCTATATTTTATTTCCTGTGAACATAAAGTGGAGAATATTGATTATAATTCATTCCCAGCTACCTAACTAGCCCCCCTTCTCCGCCCATTTACATAATTTGTTCATTTATTTGTAAAGGGAAATTCAGAACAGTGAGAGCTTAACGTGAATACACGATCCTCATTACTGTTTAACACAATATTGGTTTATGCAGATTTTGAAAATAGTGTAATTATAAAATTATTTATAATCTATTGTTTGAAGAAGTTATTGAAGCACAACGGGATTTTGAATTGGTTTTCGTCCTAAATATTTTA